CAATCAAATAACCTGACCTAACTAGCATTTATAGAACACTGCACTACTGATGTACAGATGGCACATTGTTGTTGAGTGCACATTGAAAAATTCAGTAAGATAAATCACATGCTGGGCCATAAATGATTCTCAATGAATTTCAAAAGATTGAAATCATGCAGAGTATGTTTTTTTTATCATGATAGAATTAAGTTAGGGACCAAAAGCAATAATTTATCTAGAAAATCTCCAAATTTTTGGAAATTAATCAGCACTGAGAACAGGGTCAGGAAGAAGTCACAAGAAGTTAGGAAATATTCCAAATGGGATGATAGTGAAAACACAATGCTATGGACCAAGTGTGGTCCCCCGCTAAGTTTCATATGTTAAAATCCTACCTCCCAAGGTGATATTAGGAGGTGTGGCTTTTGGAAGGGAACTAGGGCATGAGGGTCAACCCTCATGAATGGGATTAGTGCCCTTCTGGGAAGAGACACAGTGGCTTGTTCCTTCACTCTGCTCTCTGCCATGTGAGGATACAAGGAGAAGACAGCCATCTGCAAACCAGAAAAGAAGTCCTCATCAGATAGTGGATCCGATGGCACCTTAATCTTGGACTCCCAAGCCTCCAGAACTGTGAGAAATAAATGTTTGTTTTTTAAGTCACCCTGTTTATGGTGTTCTGTTATAGCAGCCTGAGCTAAGACACACAACATATGAAAATTTGTGGGATGGAGTAAAAGAAATCTTAGAGGAAGATTTATAGCTTAAATGCTTTTATTAGAAAAAAAGTATAAAATCAATGATCGAAGGTTTCACTTTATAAAGTAGAGAAAGAAAAGCAAATAAAATCCATGTAAGTCAAGGCAAAGAAATAACAAAGATGAGAACAGGAATCAACAAAGTATAAATAAGACACTAAAGAAAACCAACAAAGCCAAAAATTGTTTTTTGAAAATACTAATTAAATTGATATCACCTAGCTAGACTGATCAAGAAAAATATCAAAAGAAACAGATTATAACTAAATGAAGGCAAGAACATTACTACAGATCATATGGAGACTCAACAGAGACTATTTTGACAATATTATACCCAAAAATTTGACATCTGAGCTGAAATGGATAAATTCCTTAGAAAAATATCTTGTCAAAATTGATGTAAGAATGCATAGAAAATGAAAATAGCCTTCTATCTATTAAATAAATTGAATTAATAATTTAAAATCTTTCCACAAAAAGGAGGCCCAGCTGGTTTTACTGGTGAATTATATCAGACATTTAGGGAAGGAAAATGTCAATCTTACCCAAACCTTTTCAGAAAATGTATGAAGAGATAACGTCCTAACTTCTGCGATTAACTCATCATAACTAATTACCAGAGAAGATAAGAGAAAGTTACTGAACTACTTTCTCACAAATACAGATACAAAAATCTGCAACAAAATATTAGTAAATAAAACCCAGCAGTATTTAAGAAGATAATGCATCCTGAAAAAGTGTTGGTTCAACATTTGAAACCAATCTTTGGAGCTCAACACATTTACAGAATAAAGGAGAGAAGTCATGATCATCTCAATAAATGCAAAAGACGTGTGTGACAAAATTCAACACCAATTCATGATTTTAAAAGCTCTCAGAAAATTAGAAGTAGAGGATAACTTTTTAGTCTGATAAAAGACATTTATAGAGAGCACACACCTAAAATTATACTCAGTGGTGATGTTTATAAATCACTGGAATGAAGGAAGGATACCTCCCTTCTCCAATTCTATTTAATATGTTACTGAATGGCCATCCTCACCAGTACAGTATAGCAAGAGGAAAGAATAAGAAATAAAAGACATACAGAGAGGAAAAATGAAGTCAAGTTGTCTACATTCAAAAGTGATGAAAATGTTTCTACATGGAAAACAAAGAAATCTACAAGAAAAGTCCTACTAGAATTAATATGTGATGCAGGCAAGGCTGCAGAAATAGAAGGTCAATATATATACTAACAACTGGAAAATAAAAATGTAAAAATATCATATATAGTAGCATAAAATAAAATAGTTGTGAATAAGTTTAATTAAAAAATACAAGACCTCCTCAAGTAGGTTGTTTGTTCAAACTACTGTTGGACTTACAAATAAAAGTTCACAAATCTTAAGTGTATATCTTGAACTTTGCATACGTATATACCTGTGTAATCATTACCCAGATAATTTCCAGGACCTCAGAGTGTTCCTCTTGTGCACTTTCCCAGTTAGTGCACCTCTCCTAAGGTAACTGCCATTTGGACCTCTAGCACTACAGATTACTTTAGCCTGAATTTTAATTTCTTATACATGGAATTACATAAATGGAATGTACTCTCTTGTATCTTTTACTCAATATTGTTCTGTGAGATCCATTCTGCTGTGCATTTCAGTAATATTTTTTAAAAAATAAAATGCTCTGTAAATTATAAAAAATATAAGACCTCTACACTGTAACCTATAAAATATTGTGGAGAGAAATTAAATAGACCTAAACAAACAGCTGTATCAATGTTCTTGGATTGTAAGACTTAATATTGTTAAGACAATCTGTTCTCCGCAAATTGATCTATAGAGATAATGCTATTCCAGCCAACTCTAGCAGGCTATTCTGTGTGAATTAGCAAACTGCTTCTAAAATGTATGCATAAGAAAATGCTGAGGATCTGGAAAAACCAAAATAATTATGTAAAAGAAGAACTAAGTTGGAGGACTCACACTACTTTATTTCAAAGTTAATATAAAACTATGGTAGTCAAGTGAGTGTTGATCTGACATATTGATGGAACAGATCAGAGAGGATATACATGTACAGTAAACTGACTTTTGACAAAGGTGGCAACACAATAGAAACAAAGGAAGTATTGTTCCAAAGGATCTGCCCCCTGTGACTCAGTGGGGAAAGGAATCCTGATGCTTGAGCCACCTCTTTGTGAAAAAAATGAACTCACATTCTTAACTTATACCATACACAAAATTTGTACACCATACAAATACAAATGCATTTGTTAACTTACACCATATACCATAATTTGACATGAATCATAGAACTAAGAGTAAAAGCTATAACTATAAAACTTCTAAAAGAAAACATAGGAGAATATTTTTGTGACCTGGGGGTAGACAAAGATTAGGCAGGGCACGAAAAATTTGAATCACAAAAAAACCCCTAAAATATTGGTCTTTATCAAAATTAAAAACTGTTTTTCAAAAGACAACACTAAGAAAATCACAGATTAGGAGAAGATATTCACGATGTGTCTATCTGACAAAGGATTTGTTTCCAGAATGATATAAACTGATACAATTCAATAACAAAAAGGCAAATAGCTCAAGAAAAAGTTGGACACTTTGCAAAAGAAGATATACATGAAAAGTCAATAAACACATGAAAAAATTATCTATATCAATAGCCACCATGGAAATACAATTAAAACTACAATGGGATACCAGTCACCACTATAACAGCAAATTTCAAACCATGTGCCACAAGAATTTTTAAAACATGTGATACCTAACTCTTTAGTCAGAAACACTGACCTCTTTTCCCTTAGATTTTCAAAGAAAAATATGACAACAGCCAATACAACAATAGCCATTCAGTGTAAATGAATCAATTATACCTATTTTTGTCAGATCGACAAAAATATATTTTTTGATGTGCCACAGAATTTTAGTAATTAGTTTATATGTGCCATGAGATGAAAAAGTTTGAAAATCACTGTAGAATAATAACTAAAATTAAAAAGGTTGATAAGACTAACTGGCCCAACTTGAATGCTCATACATTGCTCATGGGATCATAAAATGACACAACTATTCTAAAAACCTGTTAGGCAATTTCTAATAAAATTAAACACCTATCCTAAGACCCCTCAATACCCACTTCTATGTATTTACTCAAAGGAAATAAAAACACGCATCCTCAAAATTGCTTACACGAGAATGTCAGTAACACCTTTATTCATAACAATCAAAGTAGCCATCAACATGTATTTATGGGATAAATACATGGTGGTATGGCCACACAATGGAATATTAGTTAACAATAAGGATAAGAACAACAGCATCAATAAGAAAAAAGCCTTGCAAGCCTTGGAGACATGCAAGAAAATGAATGAATCTCAAAAACTGAGCAAAAGAAACCAGACACAAAAATGTACATATTGTAATAAGATTCAATTTATATGATGTTCTAAATCTGGCAGAAGGAAGCTTTGGTGATAGAAATCAGATCATTGGTTGTCTGGAGTCGGGGTGAGGATTAACTGTAAACAGGCATGAAAGAGTTTCTGGGATGATGCAAATATTCTGTACCTTGATTATGGTGTGGTTATACAGGTATATATTTGTCAAAATTCTTACACGTTGCTATACATTTAAAATCTGTGCTTTTTATTGTATGCAAGTTATACCAAAAAATCTCAATACTACTGGTGATGACTTAGAGTGTTTGCTGATCTTGAATGGATGAAGACCCCTGCCCCTAAATTGTGTTCTCCTTGTGCTAGAGGCAGTTGTAATGGGTAATCTAGTTTCTTTCTTACCACAAAGCACTTAAATAATGCTAGATAAAAGAACTTGTTTTCTATTCTTAAAAACAAACAAAAATAGTATACATACAAAAGACCTCTTTTAATAACTTGTTCAACAACAGTACTCTCACCAGAGCAGAAAGTTTTGTTTCAGATCTAACTTGTTTCAGATCTCATGTTGCACCTGACTGACACCTTATTTTGTTTTTTGGTAAACTGGAGCTTCCCCAGGTCTGGGCATGAGTTTCTCCTTTGATAGTACAAAACTATTTGCTTGGGGCTGGAGTTGTTTATAATGATGCAGGTGGTGTCTGGCCTAACTGCCCCACAGTATGCCTCTGTGGCTTGCCTAGTAACATCACCAACATCCACGAGGAATTTGGTGGGACAGTCCTGGGGCCCCTGCCCCCCTGTACTCCCAGGAGCCTTGAGCACATTGACACTGACTTTCTTTTCCTGTCACACAGGAAATGCTGAAGGATGAGGTGCGGACGCTCACTTACCGGAACTCCATGTACCACAACAAGCATGTGTTCAAGGACAAAGTGGTGTTGGACGTCGGGAGTGGTACTGGGATCCTTTCCATGTTTGCTGCCAAAGCAGGAGCCAAGAAGGTGTTTGGGGTGAGCATGCCACTCCCTCCCTCATGCTGGCCTCTGCCGAGCTGGCCCTGCCCTCTGCCTTCTCTGGCCCTTCCTCGAAATGTTGTTACAAACCCTGGTCTGTCTCTTTGCTGAGATCACACCCTCAAGGAGAAAATCAAGTGTGACTCTCAGGAGGCAGGACAGTCTCCCATGGTTCCCTGTCACTAGGGCATTGCTCCTGGCTGCTTGCCCTGGTAACTGCTGACATTTGCAGAAGATTTTTGACTTTTCAGAAACCCTTTCAAGATCATCATTACCTTACAGTGCATAGGAGGCAGTGCTCCATGGTTCCACATGTGAGTTCTGGCTTGAATCTATTTTTCCAACTCATGAGATGTGGGACCCTGGGCAATTCACTCCTCTGTACCTCATTTTCCTCATCTATAAAATGAATGTGATAACAGTAGCTTGCTCATGGGGTCACTGTGGGTGGTGAAAAGTTTAATACATATGTAGCATTCTTAGAACCGTGCCTGGAATATGACAGATGCTCAGTGTTTGAGTATAGTTGTGATAAGGGCCCTAGGATATGACAACAAGAAAACCCTCTTTCTTTGTCCTTGAAAGGGCAACTTCATAAATCTAAATTCTGCTACTCTGGCTGCTGCAACCTCCCTGGGTAGAGTTGGAGGCTGACCCTCAGGGAAACCTCCCAGCCTTCCTTTGGCTCCTACAATGTAGCTGGTCACAGCCTGGGGACTGGGTTCTGGGAGGGTCTGGAGCTCAGAAAAAATTGTGAAAAGGAGAGCTCCAAGCTGCTGCCTGACATTTAAAAAGTGCAATGAGTCTAGACCTGGGAAATGGGAGTTAATCTTGATCAAAATTAAAGTTACACTACAATCAAACTCACAGCATATGCACAAGTCAGCCCACTTGCAGAGGCTCACGGGGAGCCCGGTAGCTTTTGGTGGGGCTTTATTCTCTGTGCATTTAGCTGGGTCAAGAGATGCTGTCCTGAGAGCCCCAGGCTCCCAGGTTGACTAGAGCCCTCCAAGGCCCTGACTCAGAGGCCTGCCCCTGAGTCTTCAGCAGGGACAGAATTCTTCCCCACGCCTGACCCACAAAGCATTTGGGCCTTGGCTGTAGCGGTCTTCTGGAAACCTGGGCTGTCCTCAAGGCACTTCTAGTATAGCCTTGACTGGAAAAGCTGTGATGCATTCAGCTGAGGCACGAGATTAGGGTACACAGCCAATCTGAAGCCCAAGGTCAAGTCCTGTCATCATCACAGGTACTGCCCCATCCCCTTTTTGGCTTTCCTTTACAACGCCCTCCTTACCTACTCAACTCTCCCTCCTGTCCAGTTAGACTCCACTTTCAATGAGCTCACACAGTCCCGGAGCTGTGAGACCATGTGGTGACCCCCAAGGGCCTCCCCTCCCAGTGCTGTTTTCAAGTCCCGTATTAGCTCTGGTCTTTGCTGAGCACTTGGGAGCCAAGGGCTGAGCAGGGAGAGGCAGGGCCACCTGTCACTGGCTTCCACATTGGCAGGGACTGCTGCCAAGGAGCTGTCAGGGGGCTCCTGCACCGTGCCTTCCAGTGATGGTGACTGGTCCCATCTTTCTGCCTCCCTCTTTTTTGCTGTAACAGCTCTTTTACAAACAGCTCCACCACAGTTAGCTGGGCTTCTATCTGGATGGCTCATTTCACAGTTTCTCCTGTTCCAGGTTCTCCCTTCCACCAACAGCTCTGTTCTAATAGGAGATACTGGATGGCAGGAAAGAGAGGCAGACAGACAGACCAAGGAAATTGACAGAAACAGCAAATGGAGACAATAGACAGAAGGATGAGACAAAAGACTCAGAGGAAAACTAGAGGAACGGGAAGTAGATCAACAAAAAGGAGAAAGAAAGCAAACTAGAAATACAAAAGAAAAATGGGAAAAGAAGAGAGAGTAAAGAAAAAAGAAGGGAAAAGAGAAAGATGGAGGTCAAAGAAAGAAAAAGAGGAAAGAGAGCAGGAATGCAGCCTCACAGCCCTGTGGCTTTCGGAGGGCCCGTCAGCATTCACTGCAGCCTCACACTCGCCGTGTGAAACAGGGGCTATGAGTTCATTATGAGGAAACCGAGGCACAGTTAGAAAGTGGCAGTGGCCAGATGTGAGTCCAAGCTGCCTGGCTCCAGATCCCATCTTCTTCATATCCTAACTCAGTATTCTCTTGCAAAAGGAATGAAAATGTGGCAAGGCAAGAGAAAGAAGAAGAGAGAAATGCAGTCCTGCCGGCAACAGAACTGTTGCCACAGAACCTGGTAGCTCAGGAAATGTCAGGTTTTCTGGAGTCTGAGTCCTGGCTAACATCTTCCTCCCCTACCAGAGCAGCCCCTTCCCGACCCTGTGGGTGCCCTCACCTTCCTCAAGGCTTTGATGGAAGCTGACAGCAACCCGCTCAGTGCCCTTGCGCTAATGTCCAAGGCCCTGGGGGCAGTCTGAGGTACGGCCTGAGTGTGGAGGTGAGGGGGGGCCGCAGGGCCTGAATGCAGGCTGGTCTCTGTAGGCCAGCTAAAGAGGTGAGAACAGCTCTTGGTAGCTGCCACTCTCTTTCCAGCACCCGCTGGCCCTCCCCGGCATGCCTAAGACCTCTACCCCCAGCTGGGGTTTGATCTTCTGCTACTCCCACAAGGTCCTTTTCTCAGCTGATGGTCAACTAACCCCTCAAATACCTCAGCCCTCTGCTCAGGAGATTTTGGGAGCATGGAAGAACTTTTAGACTTAAAAGAATCAATTCTTTCAAAGGTGGAGACTGCAGAAGAGGTGAGAGTTAACATGTGTGTGCATGTTTAAGGATCTTAAGACTGGCCCTTAGTTGGCATTTTTTCAGATGGCCCCTGTCTTAGAATGCTTCCAGTTTAACCAGTGAGGGCTGGAGTATGGGAAGGTGGCTCCCAACTCAGACACTGGACCCTCCACTGCAAAGCACAGGATGGATTCCAGGCTCACAGAAAAGGCAGCTTGATTAGTGGAAGAGCTGCTGGCTTGCAAGTTGGGAGGGCTGTGTTATAGCTTTTAATTTGCTGGAAATGAGCAGTGATAGCTGAGGGCAAGTCACTGCACCCCTGTAGCCCTCAGCTTCTCCATTTGTTAAATTGGTGTCGGTCGTATTTTTGATACGTTGCTCCTTTATTCTGTACCTTTTCTAGATTGAATGCTCCAGTATTTCTGACTACTCAGAGAAGATCATTAAGGCCAACCATTTGGACAACAGTAAGACATGTCTTCATGTGTTTTCCCATGGATGGAGCAGGGAGGGGAGCTATACTACCTTGTTTGGATGGCATAAGCTGACATAAGAGAGGAAAGGTCAGAGCACTTGGCCCTCAGGAGGAGGAGGAAGAGCTCAGCTGAGGCATTGTTAGCAGGACTGTGGTCATGGGATTCTGAGGTTCCCAATCCCTGTCATGTCAGCCAAGGTCCATTTTTCCAGCTCAACTTCCTGGGAGTCCAGGCTGTGGCTAATTCCTTAGTTTCCATGCCCTCTGCTTGGCCCCAGGTACAGACAATCTATTGAGTTTTTCAAAATGGCAACTATTTCTCCTTATCCTGTTCCCTCTCCACAATCCCTAGCTCTACCTCTCCCCATTGCCCATCCAGTGACAGACCCAGACTCTGACTTTGGGGAAATGTGGTCCCCTACAGCCCACAGGCCCTGCTGCTGATGGGGCTATCTTAGTAATTGGGTCGTCTATGAGATCGGGACCTTTTCAAGCTGGAGTCTGATTATACAAGTGCATTCCTTTCCCTTTCTCTCATTATTCCTTTTCCATATGTTGCAACATTCTCCAGGACCTTCCCTCTGGAACCCATCTTGAACACACTCATGTCCAGAAATGCTTCTGATTGTTAGATGTCCTTGTATCTTTCAGCAGTTGTCAGTCAGCAGAATGGGATTTAGTCACCAGGCCCTGTGTGGAGTGGGGCCAGATCATGTAGGGTTTGCAAACAAGGAAAATAAGTTTCTAAGGATGATGGAGGCCTTTTGAGAGTTTTAAACAAAGGAAAAGCATTCTTTATGGAGAATGTAGGCAGACCCAGTCTGATGCTATTTCAGTGCTCCAGGGAGAGATGTTGTGGTATGGACTGAGGTGGTGACCTTGGAGGAAGAGAGGGGCTACCCCCTGGATTATGCTTATAAATAGAGGCAAGAGAACCTGATGGTGGACCATATGTGGGAATGGGGAAAAAGAAAGGAGAAAGGGCTAATTTTTTGCCTTGAGTAACGGGTAGATGGTGGAAGATGAGATAGAGGAGTCACGGGGTTGACAGGAAGGAGAAAGAAGTCAAGAGTTCTTTCTTGCACGTGTTAGGTTTGAGAAACCTTTGGATACCCAGGTAGACATGTTGAGACTTGAATGCATAAGTCTAGAGTTTCAGGGAGAGTCAGAGCATGGCATACACACTTGGGAGTTCTCAGCATACGAATATTACTTAAAGCTACACAGTGAGGTCACTTAAGGATTAAGCATAGCTACAGAAAGAAACAGGCCAGCAGAGGGGCTGAGAAGATATATTAAGGGAAGCTGATGGACATTCAGAAGAGAAGAGGACCATGAAATCAAGGAAAGTAGGAAGTCATCAACTATAGGGAATGCTAAGGGTTCAAATAGGATAAAAACAGAAGAGTGACCAACGAATTTGGCTACATGAAGGTTACTGGTGCCCTTAACAAGAGCAGACTGAGTGTAAAGGTGGACACTGAAGTCCAGCTAGAGCAGGTTAGGGAGAGACTGTGAAGTAAGGACTATGCATAAGTCCTTACTGCTGTAATGGGAAACAGAAAAATGGAATAATACCTACAAGGGGATGTGGGCTCAAGGAAGTAAGTTGTTTTTTTTAAGGATAGGAGATATGAAAATATGTGTGTATGATTCAATGGTCCAGTAGAGAGAGAACAAAATTGCAGGTAGAGGAAACAGTAAATTCAGGAGCAAGGACCTTGAGAAGATAAGTGCCTGGGGTGCAAAGCACAGGTGGAGGGTTGGTCTTTTTCTTGAATAGAGACAGTTTAACCACAGTTATAGGGGGAAAGGGGGCATGAGGGTCCAGGTGGAGGTGTGCTGGTGGTGGGAAGCCCCTGCTTCATTGCTTCCATTTTCTCAATGAAGAACGAAGCAGTCATTGGCAGAAAAGACCAGGAGGGGAGGGGTATAAAGGTGTTGAAGGACAATGAGAAGGAATAGAATGGACTTTCAGAGGAAGGGAGGGAGAGAAAACAGGCATGCTGCACTAGTGATGGCGGGGGCGCAGTCAGCACTTGTTAGAGGTTGGTGCTTGTCAGAGGTACGTGGACATAGATATGTACTGAGGTCAGTTCTCAACCTGTGCTCAGCAGCCTGGGCACAAGTGGAGGGAGAGTTGCCTGTAAAGGGGCTTTGCTGGGAGGGCACCCAGAGGGAGGGAGGAGCCAGAGTTACACTAGTGATGGACCATGAAGTCTAAACTGGGTGAATAAGGAAGTGAGGGAGTGGAGGGGGTACAGGTGGATGAGTGCTAGTGAAAAAGGCCAGGGTAATGGGTAAGCAACATCTGTGGGGCCATGAGCAGAGCCAAGATCCAGAAGCCTCTTTTCAGCCAGAGCAGGAGAAATGTTGCTGAGATATCCCTGACCTGGGGCTTGGCATTCAACCTCTCTTGGTTCACTTAGGGGGCCAGGTCTCTTCTGTATGCTCCTCAGGAAAGTACTTGAGCTGGGTAGGAAAGACAGAGAGGTGACCTCTATACTTGCCTACTAGAGATGGAAAAAGAAGATGACAAATCTTTCTCTACAAGGGTGACACAGCCTAGTATCTGCATGTTTTCACCTGACCTCCCTTTTTCCCAACTGTGAAATGGGGCATGTGGTTTTCTATGTAACAGATGTAGGAACTGAGGATAGGAGACATGGGGCAGAGCCTTTGGTTTCAGCCCTCATTCCTGTACTCATTCCTAAAGTCAATGTGGAAGCTCAGTGAGTGTCTGCTGATCCTAAAAATGAAAACTAAGATAGAGGCGGAATCAGATTTCTTCTCAGGGTTACTGAGTGTCAGCCCTGGGCTCTAAGAGGCTTTTGAAGAACATCTAGACATTTCCCTGCCTCTGCATGGGTTTCGCATGTACAGCAATTCTTGCCCTTGGAGGGTCTACCCAGCCCTTACTCTTCATTGGTCTCTGTTGCTGCTGGCTCTTGGGGCCCAGAACCACAGCCCCCAGGGCTCACCTCTGAGAGAGGAGGGCTACTTGCGGTGGGCTGCTGCCCTGCACTGTTGGTAGCAGAGTGTGGAGTGGACCCAGAGTGGGAGGGGCCTGACAACAGCTGCGAGGTCCCTAACCTTCGTGAGGAGGACAGTCTGGCTCTGAAAGCTCCCAGGAAGAACTGTGCAACCCCTAATCACTCCGTCTGGTCCACACTTTGTGGTCCCCACCTCCTTCTCCTTGCCTCATACTCAAATAACCTTTTAAATTCCCCTTCCTTTCCTTTTTCTCTTCTTTCTCATAACCTTCAAAACATTCTAATTTACAAAAAAAGGTACGAATATAGCTGTATTATATTTTAACCACTGAGAGTAAGTTGTTGACATGATGCCCATCATCCCTGAATACATTAATGCATATTGCCCACAAACAGGGACATTTTCTTATAAAGCCACAGGGCAACTGTCAGAATCAGGAAGTTCCAGAATGTAAGTACATGGTCATTATCTAGTGCTCAGATCCTCGTCATATTCTGCCAGTGTTGCAATTGCATCCTTTATAGAAAAAGCATTCAGTTCCAGAGCTCCTGTTGCATTTAGTCATCATGCCTCTAGTTTCCTTCAAGCCAGAACAGGCTTTCCTCAACTTTCATGGCCTTCAACACTTGAAGATCACTGGCCAGCGTTCTGTGGATGCCCCTCAGTTTGGGTCGTGTGACTCTTCCTCACAATTGGGTTCAGGTGACACATCCTACAGGAATGATACAGATGAATGCTGTGGCAAGTCATTTTAATTTGTTCAGCTACTGACAGAATTGACTTTGACTATGTGTCTCAGTGATGTCTGCTAGGCTTCTGCATGGTAAAGTTACTCTTTCTCCCTTCATAATTAGTAAGATTTTCTGGGAGACGTACTTTAAAATCATGTAAACATTTCATTTCTCATCATTAGTTTCCCATCATTGGTACTTACTTTGATACTCAAATTGTCCCTGATTTGGTCACTGGGAGCATCTTCAAGCTGGTTTCCAAGTCCCTTTGACATGTCTCCTTCACTTTTTGTGAGCTTTCTCATTTTCTGGCACAAATGTTTCAGGCTCATCTTGTACTTTCCACACCTCTGATCTAGAATCAGCCATCTCCCCAAGGAGACTAGATTCCATTTAGAAAGGAGGACCCAGGGCTAGGTGGGCTCACAGATGTTAGGGTGCTGATACTCCCAGGCTGTCTCAGTGGAAAGAATGTGTGTGTGCATATGCACTTACATAACATACATTTCTATATCCATCTATATGTATTGTCAAGTATGAGTTCATATGAGACCTTTTCTTATCCAGCACCACATTGTCTAGCTTCTATTGCCCTTTTTATTCCCATGTTTGTGAGTCACTTCTCTGATGGTAAAAACTCTGGCCCCTATTGTTCTAAATATGTTTACATATTGGACCAATCCCTCTGTTGTAAACAGCCTCCCATTGTTGGCACCTCCTGCCCCATGCAGATGCTTCTGCATCCCAGTGCTAGGCTCCGACACCCTGTGCCAGGCAGCCTCCTGCAGCCTGCCTTCCCCGCTCAAGCTCCAGTTGGCTGAGCCAGGCTGCCCTCCTATGCAGAGGCCCCCCTGGGCTCCTTGCACATCACCCTCCCACACCAGGGATGCCCTGCTTACCCGACTCTGGCTCTGGCATATGGTGCCAGGCTACCCTTGCCTTCCCAAGCTTTAACACCTCACACTGGACTATTGTGACATCCATGCCACACCCCTCCCTGGGCAGCATGGAGGTTGAATTTGCTTGGCCCCACCTGATGGCTTTAGGATGGAATTGTTTCATGTTTCATATGTTGATGGCTCACACTTGATTCTGCTACTGAAGCAAAGGAAACATTATTGTCCTCAAGTGAAAGCCAGCCCTGTGCCCTATACCTGTTCCTACCCCTCATATACTCTGTGCAGAGGAGGAGGGGACTCCAGTCCCAGGGGAAAAAAGAAGGCAGAATTGACTTCGCCTCCTCTTCCCCGGGACAGCAACAGTGGGG